CTCCTGAAGCCCATGTTCATGTTTTCAGTGACGGGAATCCTCATTATGCGCACTTGTTAACGCGGAGAGTGGCCTCCTAATTTTCTATCTTAGTCCAGTGGGCTTTCATTGTGCAGGGCGTCTACGGCTTGTAGTCCCTCGAATAATTGTTGTTTCCTGGCAAAGTCCTGGTTTTTATTGTGGCCGGTGTTGTTTGTTTTGTTAATCATGTGTTCCTGGTTTCCTTCTGAAATGCCTATTTAGGATTTCAGTGGGGAAGTCACTCTTCCTAATAATCCACTAATGCTGACTAATTGGAATGGGGTGGCACAGTATAATATTGGATCATACGGACTCAGGAGTCAACAGCATATTTTTACCCTAAAAAGAATACAGGAACTCTTTTATCTGCTTATTCTTCATTTATCCAGTGACTATTATCTCAGTAATTGTCATTAATTGGATCATAGTTGAAATTCTCAGTCGAAATCTTACTATTAAAAAAGCATATGACAAGTTCTTTTGTGAATGCAAGACTCTTTTTGGTATGTAAATAACCAACACTAATTTATTAATTATTGGGATGCTCAAAATAATTGGGCATCCCTAGTTTACCTTTTATTTAAGACTTTTGCTTTCTTTTTGCCATTTCTAATTGTACCGTTGGACTGGATGTCATTGAGGCTTCATTATTTTCTGACAAGGTGATGTTTGGAGATGTGGAATCTTTGGGGGAAAAAAGATTATTTAACAGAGTGGATGCTGGTCCTCCACTTGCATTCTTGTAACCACTACTCCAGACTCCTCTGAGCAGTCCTTTCTGCTTGCACACGTCAGATATAATGTCAGAAGCATTCTTGGATGCGGCCGCACTGAGAACTTGGCTCTTGCAACGAGCTGTTAGAATGGGTGCCTTGGAGAGGCTTGATTTGGACAGGTGGCAAGCCCCGGACCACAGCCTCTCCTTACTAAGCCAGATGGGGCAGATAGAAGCACTCGTTCTGATGCCTGGGGTTACATGTTAAGAGGGCTTTTGACAGTGTCTCATAGGAGTGGAATGCAAACTGGCATATGGGCAACTGAGAAAAAGAGGGTACATTTCCATACACGTGTGTAGTGTCATGTGTGTTTCTGCAGTCTTACCTTTCGACACCAAGCTTTCTCTTCTCTTTCCTGCCCCCCTCTGCATTTTTCCCTTATTTCTCCTCTTCTCTCTTCCTTTCCTTCCCTCTCTCCTTCCCCTTTCCTGAGTCTAATGTCCGAAGAAATAATACTACCAGTTGCCAATTTTCTAAAACTTTGGAAAATGGGTCTATAATCCGATTTTTAAAAAAAGAAAAACACTCAGTGAAACATGAGCAGGCTCCGGGCCTACCGTGCAAAGGCTTTTATAATCTGTTGTGATGATCCACTAAAAGATTATAATCTTTAGGTAGGATATTATAGTTTTGTATGTTGGCAGCCCCCTGCTTTGAGATTTGAAGAAGGTGGATTGACGAAGGGAAAATTAGGACGCTGAAGACAAAGAAAGAGATGATCGTACTAATCAAGGCAAGAGATGAGAAAGTTACAAGTAGGGCAACAGCAGTGGTGATGAAGAGAGGAAGGGATGTGTTAAGGGTATGAAGGATACAGAGTATGCTGGGTGATGGGCATTAAAGAGGGTTCTCGTTAAGATGAACACTGGGTGTTTATTTAAGTGATGATCAACACATTCTACTCCAGAAACCAATACTGCACTGTATGTTAACTACCTAAAATTTAAATCAAAAAAGAAAAATGCACAGGTCTTGATTGCTAATTGGATGCAGAAAGTAAAGGCCAAGCCTTGGTACAATCACCAGGTACGGATAGAGTGATTTGGTGGCCAGTCTCTGTTGTGACTCCCATGGTGGGAATACAAGAGAAGCAGGCTTATTTAACACGCTAGTGAATTCAGTGTTTATCAAGTGCATCAAAAAAGAGAGGTCTTGCTAGAAGTACGTTTGAGTCATCTGGGACTTAATCTTAGGATCATTATAACATTTAATAACAGCATTGAGTGTTGATTCTCCTATGTGCTTCTTCATTTTAACCAACTAAGTAGGACTTAATAGCCAACATACCTAATCTCTAAATGTATAATAAAGCATTTGAATGATGAGGTAGGGTACTCATTTGCAGATGTAATAATTTCCTAGGTGAGCGTGTCTTGGACTAGTTAGACATAATGACAGCACTTAACGGCACCTACCGAGATGTAGAGCCTGTGGGTCTTTCCATTTTTTTATTAGTAGGCCATATAAACTAAGGGCTAAGCTACGGTCTAGCTGTATAAAAAGGTAAAGTTGCCCAGTTCTTTATGTGTATTATGAGCACGTGAAATATGTTCACAGTGTTAATTCATCTGTCAGCTCATTCAGATGTAATAGTTTTCCTCAGTCTCTTGACTTTTCATAGTGTAGACGAGTTTTTCAAAATTCTAATTCTAAAAATATATAATTCGTCTAAGATGTGGAGTAATGCACGTGTCATTTACAAGATTTTTTTCTACCTCAAACGATCTCCAACATTTCTAGGTCTTAAAAGACGGTGACATGCTGCTGATAGGTTGGATGACTGTACGAATGGATGGATAGATTTATGGTAATTGACGGTAATGTAAATTTAGGGGTGATGGTAATATAATCTTGGGAGATTAAGAGGGAGCTTTTAATTATTGTCTATTGTTCTGTTGTTTTATTGTCTAATGACTGGATGACTTCACCGCATGTCCCTAGATTCTCTGTGCCTCCAGCTTCCATATTGGTAAGATTGAAAAACATAATAGTGGTTCTCTCGTGGAGTTTCTGTGATGATTTCTCAATCATTAGCAGCTGTGCTTGACACTCCAAAAATGCTGGTGAGGAGGAGAAGGAAGAGAAAGAGAGTGCCTAAGTGGAAAACCAATAAATTCAGATACGGGCATATTTTTTAATTTGCTTGCCACAATAATTTAGGTGGTTTGAGTGAGAATATTTCATCCTTAAGTTCAACATCCTTATTTAGGTGACATTTGGCAAAAGGAACTGATCTATACAGTACCTTCTAGCTCTGTGATTGAATCTCCAGGAATAAATAAAGCTCCTTTCCGTGTGCTAATGAAAACATCATTAAGATAACATTAATCTCCTAAATAGGACATTTATCTTTAAATATGATTACCGTTCCCACTTTAATAAGAAATCTTTTAGCATATAGATAAGCCAGAAAAAAATTATCTAACCACAGAAAAGTACTAGGCCATATTAACTAGAAATAGAAAAAAAAAAAAGTGTTGTATTTTCCTCTGTATTTAGAATTGCTTCCCACCCCACTTTTATGTGTCTCTAGTTTTCCAGCCTCTGACAAATTCCAGAATCAGTTAAAACAGTGTTCATGCCACTGTGGTAAAGGTCACATACTTTGCCTAAATTTTAAAACACTGTTTAACGTTCAGGGTATTTTTGCCCTGGAGAAGATTCTGCGGGGAAAATGGCACATTCAGCTGAGTACTTTATAAGGCATTACTTTAAAATCATTAGTTGCCAAATTTCGTGTATAAGCATGTACAGCTATTGGGATCCATAAAAGCGAATGGGATTGCTGAGAGACCTTTCTTCACCTTCCACCTCTGCCGCTGTAGTCCAGGCCGCCATCATCATCATCGTCATCCTTCACGTGGTCTGCGGCAGTCAGGCACCGAGCGTGAGCCGCCTTCTGTGCTTCCACCCTAATAAAATCTTAAAAAAATAAAGATATGTTCACTTGAGAAACAAATACGTACCATCATCTAAAAAATTACACATTATTTATTGAGTATTACTGAACATTAGTATTTTCCTACAGGTTCTCTTTCATAGGGCCACTTAGACACACACTGACTGTCTCCGTCTATTCAGGCTGTATTAACAGGACACCAGAGACCGGGTAGCTTATAAACAACAAAGTCATTTCTCACAGTTCTAGAGGCCGAGAAGTCCAAGGTCAAGGCACCCACAGGTTCGGTAGCTGGTGAAAGTTTGCTTCACAGGTGGCCGTCTTCTTGCTACACCTTCACATGGCGGAAGAGTCCAGGGGTCTCTCTTCTACAAGAGGACTAATCCTGCTCACGAGGACTCTGCCCCCGTGACCCGATCACCCCCTCAAGGGCCCCACCATCACATTGGACGTTAAGATTTCAACACGCAGATTCAGCAGAGGAGTGAGTGGGTGGGACGAGCAGTCTGTAAATAGCACTGACCTATCTTCTAGGGGAATTACGTCCAGTGCGTGGAAAGCGTCTACCTTCTAGTGTAGGGAGGTTGCACCTTTCCTATTACCGATCTACTTAACAGCCCTATCCTGACCGCACAAATTCTACGACTTCCACAACTGTTTCAGGCAGGATGTTCCATAGTATATGACGCATTAAACACAAAGGGACTCCTGAAAAGTGCATGTGACACGCTCTTTTTAAAGATGCATGTAGAAAACTGGATGACTTACAAGAAAATCCACAAATAACTGAAAAGTTCATGAATCAGAATAGACATTTCCAAGGCCACAGTCATCCTGCTGGTGAATTCAATAAGTGTATCTCTTAGAAGTAATCGCGCTTAGCTCTTAGAATCGAATGTGTGTAGCTCTTCTGTGAGGTGCCGTGTAGCACGGGGATCGTAACTCCCTTCTCACGGACGTGTGTCAAGACCGTCATGTTATCCAGCAGCTCCCTTGAATCTCTAGCAAGTGGTCATACGCCTCACATGCTAAATCGCTTGGAAAGTAAACGCGTCCCACCCGCCAGGAGGATTTTGCAGAGATATAACCTGTTTGCGTTTTGACAGCCGTTACGTAGGAGGTTGATGATGCTTCTTGATTAGCTTTCACGATATATTCCCTATGAGGAGCAAGATCCGTTATCGTCTGTATTTTACCCATTCTTCTGCGCCAGACTCTTTCAGGAAACGTTTTTTCACCCCTATTTTCCCCAAATGCCTGATATGATCCCTCTGACAAACGCTGTTTCTGCTTGACTGTTTCAGCACTTTTATGTAATGGAAAATTTCACAAACATTTGCAAGAAATCTTTGTGCCCTCGGTTGTCCGCTACGTCGATCTCATGGAGTCCTCCATCGCCCAGTCAATTCACAGAGGGTTTGAGCAAGAGACATGGCAGCCTGTCAAGTAGGTATCTTGCCAAGTGTCCATGGAACATCTGTCTCTTCCGTCCTGACCTTATGACTTTACACATGGCCCATCTGTAGTTATTGCTTATGGTGGTCCCTTCCCACGTTGTTTGTTTCTTTACAGGAATATCGCCAACAGTCTTCCCAATGTAGCTCTTCCAAAAGTTCCAAGTCTGCCTCTTACTCTTCCACAGATTCCTAGCTTTTCTACTCCTCCGTGGATGGCTTCTTTATATGAGTCCACGTGTGTATCCCTCACTTATTTCCTGGTGGTGTGTTAGCTAGTGCATGGCCTGGGCTGTGTTCTGTGCACCTGTGTTCATGTTCGGATTGCATGGCACTTATCATCCCTGGTCGAGGAATACTATGTTTTGGTTTCATTTGAGTTTTTTAAGCTGTTGAGCGAAGCTGAGCAAATTGATGATAAATGATACAGATTGGGGGGGGAAAAAAAAACCACTCACTGGTGTGATGTAGTTCCTATGTGACCTGTAGGTCGGAGGTCATTTTGTGAGTCAGGTTGTAGACTTTCGCCTGAAGGATCTACCACAGTTCGGGCGATCAGTGTGGCAAGAGTATATCTAGGCACCGTGGCCGCTTTGCCACTGCCCACATAGTTCCTCTTCTACGTGTAGAAAACCATCAGAAGAATAGTTTCAAGAATATAATGTTTTTATGTTTTATCTTAGTCACACTTGTAAAGAAATAATATTTCAGGTTGCAGAGAAGCGATTGTCCTTTATTTCCTAACACCAGCCAAGTTCTTCATTTGTGCTTTCATGTATCAGTTGATGCACTTTGTTATTTTTAAATAATCCTTATAACATAAAAACAGTATTTGCTAGCTCCATGTTGTGATAAGCCCACGTACCGCGGATGTGCGGTAACTGAGAGTCACTACAACGAAGAGGGCACAGGCTTTGAAATTCGAATTTAGATCCTACTTTAGTAATCATTAAGTCTTTCTTAGCCTCAGTTTCCCCAGTGCCAAAACGGTTATGACACGTAATTTAAAGACATTTTTGTGCGGATAAAAAATAAAAAAAGGATGATGAAGAGTGCCTGGCACACTCTGGGCTCTCAATAAAAACTACATTACGGTTTTCACTTTTACTGCCATCAGTCATCATTATTCAAAACGGTATAGTTTTCAAAAGTATAAACCTCCGAGCAATCAGATGAACTCAGTACTAGTCTGTGCGTGGCCAAGATCTCATACGAAGTCAGCTAGAAAGAATAAAATAACTAGAAGAAGAAAAATAGCTCCCACTCATTGAGCATTTAGTAGTACGTTCCAGGTACAGTGTCAAACCCGTTATCTCGGTTCAGCCACACAGTAACCCTGGGAGGTACATGTCCCTGTGCCCATTTTACAGTTAAGGAAACTAAGTCACAAAGAAGGTAAAGGCCCCGAGGTCCCCCAGTAAGTAAGCGGCAGAGGCAGGCTCTGAACCGGGCTCGTCTGCCCAGCGCTGTCATTCCCCTACCCGGGTGCTCGGCCTCGGGAGCATGTGCAGAGCCCCCCCCCCCCCGCCACGGCTGAGGCCGCCCCCCGTCAAGGTGCACACCCTCAGGAAGAGACAGAAGACCGAAACGGAGAAGAATAACTTGCAAAATAGCTTAGCGGCATTTCTCCAAGTGAAACGTCATCACTGGCCCGTGACAGTTATTAGGTCACGCGGGGATCTTTCTCTTTCCGGCAAACGCTTTGGGCGGTTACAGTGTACGGACTCGTGTCTGCGTGCTTGGCAGCTGTCTAGCAAGTATAATGAATCTAAGTTTACGTGTTTTTTGTGCTGCTTAATACTGTTTTGTAACTTAACTCCTCTTCTTCCTCACCCCTCACCTGTTCAACACCCTGGATTTTAACCACGAGCACTATTATGGGCATTGCCTGGTGAACTTTAGACTTCTTTTTTGGTCATTATTATTTTTTTAGCTTTGAGATCTATGTGGAACGTGAATCTCATTTATTGGGAGTCCCTTTTTAAAATGATCTGCATTTCAGGACAGGAATTATGACAGATCGTGGCTTCGTAAATATTTCATCATTCTGAGGAAATAAAAAATACGTTTTACAAGGAAATCACTGTCATCTTTACGTGTCAGGATTATCAACGTTAGGCTCTTCATCGGGGTGCTCACAATTACTTGTAATGTTACGATGTAGTCACTAATTTGGGGGGTTCTGGGTGGGTTTTTTTGGTTAAAGATTTTATTTTTATTATTTTTAAGTAATCTCTACCCCCAGGGCGGGGCTTGAACCCATAACCCCAGGTTAAGGGTCCCATGCTCCCTAACTGAGCCAACCTGGTGCTCTCAGTTTTTTTTCACTTTTCATTTTAAAGCACTAATTATAAAGCTCCTCAATGTCTTCCTTCTCCGTGTTTTGTTTGGGTTTTTTGGGTTTTCTGTTTTTTTTAGCTCCAAAAGTAGATGCCAATAAGATGTGCTTCCTACTGGCATTTTTAGGAAATTATCTGAGTCCATTATTCATGTTTGAGTTCTTTAATCTGTTCATAATACTTTCAGAATGGGTCACTGATTAAAAATAATTTTAAAATGAAAAAGTTCTGAGTAAATTGCAGGTTATGTATTCCAGCTCAAGAGAAAACCTACTTACATTTTTTTATCTATTTAATCATAACAGACACTTGTTACCTTAATTACATTCCCAATTAAGCACATTTATTGTTCCAGAGTCTTACCATAGCATCAAAGAACAAAAGAAACGTATATCCATAGTCTCTGTAAAGATTTAATTGTCATATGTTATGAGAAAGTCTGTTTTCAGTAGAATTGCACCTTCAGTATTTCAGATTTTGTTTTGATGATGGTTGTCTTGTTTTGTTACGCTGTTAAGAAAACACACGTTTCCAGTACCTACCTATGTTTCTCCAAAGTGAAAACTTATTAGATTTGCTTCTTGAACCAATTAGGTTCAATTACTCTTAAAATATAGATCTTCTGATTTACCACATGAGCACTGTGGGTATGTAATAGAGGCTTTGCCTTGTCTTTTTTTTTTTTTTTTCCTCTTATTTTTATTAACTATATGGTAACAGGGAAAAATAAATACAGTGTTTTTTCTAACATTTTTCACAGCAATGTCTACATGATGTTGTCTGGTTCCTTTGTTTCATGGTACGTTGGGGGCTCTGATTTTTAAGGTGAAGAGGTATTGGGGTAAAGAGCTGTGGGTGGCGTTCAGGGCTCTGCTGCATCGGTCCTTTGAGGACTTAACTCCGAGCACGTCTTGGCTAGGCCAGGAGACCACGAGGAGTCACTGGCAGAAGGGGAGACGGAACACAAAGAAGGTTGGCGACGCAGGAAAGATGCTGAGCTGCAGGTGGGGAGGGAAATGGCTTTTAATTAGCCGAAGACAGAGGTGATTTTTTTTTTAAAGCCAACTAATTAAGATATATTTAGCTAAACAAAGTGGGGATTTAAAAGAATTTTATCTTTATACAACTTTTCCACTGTGCTCTTATGATACATTATTTCATTTCTCTATTTTTGTTTCGAACACTAAAAAGACAGTTTTCAGCTCAGTGTCTGTCCAACACGGACGGGAAAGCTGAGGAGAGGTGACTCACACGGCACCTTTTTCTCCTTTTGTTCTCTTCTACTATTAAGTTGCAGGGTCTTCTAACATACGAGTATTTTACTTTCAAATCACCTGTTTCCCTATTAGGCCAGATCCTTGCATGATGGAAAGCAGTAGTGTTATCCGCTGCCCACGTGCCCTAGGTACCGTGCTACCAGCCGCCCAGAGTAATCTTGGCACAGCCGTGAACGCATAGCGCATCCAGGCCCCGAGTTCCAGAGATGGGATGACCCGAGATACGCGATTTGGCTCCCACCCCAGAGCACCCTGGGCGTCCTTTCCCTGTTAGACTCTACCCTGTACCGGGAGGCTCCATTAGGAGCTAGAAAAGTCACGAATCATTTCAGACTAGGTGTAAGGCTTGCTCCCCTACTCAGCTTGTTGTTTCACTTGTAGTACCCGGTCCCCTTCTCTTGTCGCTGAGAAATGTGAGCCCCCCCCCGCCCCCCCGTACACTCCTGTCTGTAGACGACACAAGCCACCAGGATGAGCACGGCACCACGTGTGCATGAGTGGGAGAGTAAAGCTGCCGCGCTGTCATACAGACTTTCTTTCATAAAACGTACTCTTCTGAATTTCTAGGAGGAAATATTTCTGTATTTGTATCCTACACATTGGTAAAAAAAAAAAAAAAAAAAAAAAAAAAGAAAGAAAACATTTTAAATGTTTGTTCTTCCTTGTACCCTTGGGCTCCTTTTCCTCAGTAAAATATCCTTGTCCATTCAGGCCCTGTTTATGACACCTTCCTACTATATTCATCTCTATTTTGGGGGGGGGGTTGCCTTATTTATTAAGAAGACGTGAAAAGAGATTTAGAAGGTCGAATAAAGAAAATACCGACTGTTAGAGATTTTATGTGTTATTTTTTCACTAATGGCAAACGGTACGGAAAGGGAAAAGACAATGTGTTGGCCATCACGGTGGAAGTTCATGACGCTCTTCATGTTTCCTTTTTCTTCCAGCAATGGCTCGGCAACATCAGAAGACCTTTTTTGGAAACTCGATGCACTGCAAATGTTTGTCTTTGATCTACACTGGCCAGAACAGGAATTTGCCCACCACTTAGAGCAAAGACTCAAACTAATGGCCAGTGATATGATAGAGGCCTGTGTCAAAAGGTAGACCTGTGTTTTCAAGTTGCTGCTTAGTACGCCGGCGCCCAGAGTAGCACTTGTCACCAAGTATCTGCTGTATAATTGTCACAAGAAAGGTGATGTGAATTTAGGCATAGACCTAAATTCTGGGGCCTCGTGTAACTGATAAAATCGGCCCGAAACTGTTTTCCACGCCTCCTAACACTGCCCTCGTCCCGGATAGTGATCGTTTCTGTTGTGCTGGTCGTTGTCTCTCTGGGAATACTGTGCTTTAAATCCCGAGGCAGTAACTGCCAAGACATACGGAAAAGGCCTGTTAAGTACTTTATACGTTATGCGCTGTGTCTGCGTGCTGTGAAGTGGCACTGCAAACCCAGATTAGGATCAGGGCCGTCACTTGTTCTGTTTTCCGGTGTTCTCTCTCCATGTCAGATGAGTTCCAAGCATCCAGTTACATTCTTCAAAACTTAACCAGAAATAAGTGATGAGGCTTAGAATCCCCCAACTGTGCTTTCATTTCTTTGAATAGTTCTCACAAAATCGGCTTTGTATCTCTAATTAACCAAGCATCGTTTTTCCCATTGCCCCTTTACAAGAACAATGGGGGCAGCATATGGGAATAAACACCGGTTGGAGCGATTGAATAATCCTGAATTCTCCAAAGTTAAGGAAAATACAGCATTTAGAATAATGTTTAATGGCTTCCTAAGGCAAGGCCAGGAATTCGATTATATGATGTTTTTTTTGAAAAAAGTCACACTTGTCATATGTGGTTCTAATGTTTCAAATCTCTGGGTGATCTTTGGATACTTTAGCAGAAAACAATTCCAAATTGCCTGTTGCACAGTTTCTTTCAAACACCCATCTACAACTTCAGATATTTGAAAGAAAACCTAAGTGACACAGAAGAAGTAGACATTCTCTGCTGTACATTAATTATGATGTTTTAGAGTTTTCCAGACTTGTACATTCATTTATTTATTTACTTACTTACTTATTTATTTATTTATTTATTTATTTTGGTAAGCCTCACACAGAGGATTTATTCTGCTTTAATGCAGAGATGCAAGTGGCTTTTATACTTGGAAATCAATTCAGGCAGTTAAGTAAAACCAAGAGATTTTTCCATAAAACGTCTTACACTAGATGTAACAAATGGCTTCCTTTGGGCAGAGATACTGTCTGCATGACTGCAGACGCTGTTTCATACAAAATGCCTCCCCAGTCTTTCATGAGACACCTGATAAAGAAGAGCAGCCCACCCCCGGCTCCCAAACTGAGGCCGCGCTCCTTATTTGCATGTTTTAAATTAGCATCTTGTGGTGTTGATTTCACTTTGACTAAGCAGGTGAGACGTATTTCAGAATTTCTTACTCTGAATTCGTGTTTCAATGAATAGAACAAGAACCGCATTTGAAATCAAGCTGCAAAAGGCAAGCAAAACAACTGACTTGCGCATTCCGGCTTCTGTGTGCACAATGTTTAATGTACTCGTTGACGCCAAAAAGCAAAGCACCAAACTTTGTGCCCTGGAGGGAGGACAAGAGGTAAGTGAACCGAGTGTCCCACAGGGACGTGCAGCACAAGGTGCCCCAGCTGTTTCCAGGCTCTCCCTTGGTTAGATTGAAAGGCCAAGTTCCTCAATAGAAGCGCTTGGTCTTTTCTTCACTATAATAGCGGACTTCATCCCCGGCTCATGTCACTTTCTTCTCCTTTCTATGAACACTGCCCAAAATTTTACAAGTGGCAGTTGAAGCTTTTAACAGCTTAGGTGTTGTGTATTTACATAAACCTTGCTTTTCACAAGCAAATAAGAAAGCTAGAAAGCTCCCCGCTTTGTTTATACAAATCTAGAGTATCCAGAGTTTGCATTCAAAAAACAAGGCACAGAAAATAGCATGTGAAATATTTTATTCATACAGAAGTTTCCGTGTTTTAAAAATAAAGTAGGAATGTGCTTTAAAAATTAGACTTCTTTTTTTAAAATGAATATCCCATTTTTTCATTTTGATTCATGTTTTGTTTGGTTGTATATTCTGAAACACACTTCATGTTATCCCATGATTTCTTTTTGTTGAAAGTGACGTTTGTGTGAAAATGGATCTATTTTTCTTAGATTATCTGTTGAAATTGACATTGTGTTGCCACTTTTCTCATTGTAATTACTTTTTCATCATTTTTTTTACTCTTCCCTTATGTTCTCCTTCATTGTCTTTTTTTTTTTTTTTTTCTCCATGGCATGATCCAGTTTGGTAGTCAATGGGTAAGTCTCTCTCTTTTATTTATTTTTTTTGTTTGTAAAAGCACATTTTCACTTAAATTATTATTTTTATAAGTGTACATTTTTTATTTTCACCTTTTCCAATTAATGTAATTAATTCCATTTTCAGGTTTATGTTTTCTGTGTATGTGTAGAACACTGACAGCTTATTATAACATAGCAATACGCAGAGAGACATTAAAACACCTATAAATACTTACACCTTAAATAATGTCAAGAGAAATGTTTCTTCCCTATTAGACTGCAGAACCTACAAACTTCTCTTAGATTGTTTAAGGATAAGATTATTTAAAAAGAAACAAATTCACCCTCCTTTTTAAACAACATTCAAAATTCAGAAGCAGAGTGATTATTACTATTTCAAGGTGCATATATCTGTAGTATATACTTTGACTAATACTAGAAAAAATTGGAGTTCTGGATGACATATATCAGGGCACCTCCGAATTTGAGGACCGGGAGGCCACTGCTAAGGTCACTTCCTGCAGAAGAACCCAGTTGTGGATTTCAGTAAGGTAGGTACGCGCCCAGCAGCGTACAGTCTTGCCTCCCGCTCATGGCCTGGGCAGTAACCAGAACCAGGGGCAGGCCTGGGTCAGGAGCCCTTCCTCTTCCCCACACAAGGTTGTCTTGAATTACTACCCAGAACTTCAGAGGAACATGATATGAAAAGTCGTATGCATACAAAACGGAGTCGCTCTCATATATATGTATATATATATAAGATATATATATACACACACATATATGTGATATCATATATACATATATGAATATATATCATATATGTATATATGTGTATATATATTTACATTTATATTTATATATCTGTTCTATATATATTTGTGATAAGCCAAAGGGGTTTTTATGCTCTATGGATCTGCTAAATCTTACAGGTCTTACAGTTGCCACCTAGGAATACAAGTCAGGGTGACTCTACTAAGCTAACAATTCTCATTCAAGCAGAAGGGCTTAGGTAGCTCTTAGGTAGCTCTTAGGGGATGACAAGGTCCACTATTTACAAATTTCATACTTATTTAACCCAGATACAGACACTGGCTATTTGGCCATAATTTATGCACATGCACATATTTCGTTCTTTGAGCAATTTCGAGGGGAAAAGATGTATTTCTAATACCATAGCACATACAACCTAACAGATACATTAAGTAACCAATATGTGTTATAGAATGTTCAGTAATTATTCTCTGAACGCCTGCAACGTGACTTATTACCTCTAATTATCTGACTGAGGAAGCAGCTGGCTTGGATATCAGTGGCTCCTCTCTACTTTTTCATGTTTTTACTACAGATGTGAGCCTTTGATGGTCTACCCAGAAATATTGTCTTAACTCTCTTCACACGTCCATCCATTTCTCATCAGGTTTATAGGAACATCTTGCCTCTTCCCACTGATACTGGAATTTACCCATTTGCTTTTATTTTAACATGCATGGCAGTACCTGACACATAGCAGGCACTGAGTAAATATTTTTTGAATGAACAGACTGATTGGTCGTCACCACTCTAAAAATCCTCCCCTGAAAAAAATAATAAAATAAGTAAAAAAATAATAATAAAAAAATCCTCCCCTGTAAGAAACGACTCTCTCTAGTACCTAAAAAGGAAAACAGGTACACGCACAAATGCCAAAGCACTGTTGCATTGTCAAATGATCCTTAATATTAACAGGTAGATGGTTTTGAAAAGTATAATCTGCTACTGTTCATTATATTTGCATCTGTACCTTCTCACCAGAGACAATTAGTTCCCCACAACTTTCATGCAATTAATACAATTCAAAATGTGCAGGTGTCAAACCCATTAGCAACTATGAAAAGTGGTAAATAAGAATTTCAGTGCAAAAGAAGGATTTTTTGCTTTGCTTTTTAATCACCAATACATATACCCACATGATTGCACAGGGTTTCCCTCTCTGCGCTTGAGGTAAGTTTTGGAATTGTTGCGAATTAGCAAATACTTTACATGCAGAGGTGAGCCAGTGGACCTCATTCTGCAGCAAGCAACAAATTAAAAACTAGATTATCACACAATTGGGAACCTTGTAAAATACCTGCTTACCTAGATAAACCTAGTAGGGATAGTTGCCTCAGTTGTACTGAGAGACCTCTCCAGAGTCCCAGGAAATTTGTCCTATGGCATTGCCGAGATAAAACTTTCCCAGCTCCTTTTCCACGAGGCGGCCCCTTCCCTGCTCCTGCGTTACGGCTGTTTCCTCACGTGGCACGTGGTGATGCAGACGTGCTCAACCGCAGCCCAGAATGGTGTCTAATGGAGTCATTAGTGAGCCAATGATCTGCTCCTGTGACAGCTGTGTGTAATGAGTCAGCAGTCTCAGGCCAGTTCCTCGGGGACAGATGTTGAGACCACAGAGCCACCAGTGTTTAGATATCATTGTTCTCCACCGACTGCATGGGTCTGAGGTAATTCTCGGCCCTCAGCGCCCCTGCATCTGATAGGAGCCCATCCATTAAGGGTGAAAGCACAGTGATGGAGGCTCCTTGTGTAGGATTCTCAACGACAGTAAAATGTTGCCACCTCCAGACCTAACAATTCAATTCCGTTAAAGTTCTCCCCAAGAGAAAGACCCAAATCTTTTAAGAATGCTGGGTTGTGCTGGCATTTGATTAGTCTTCGTTTCCGGTGTGGTGTGTTTACATTAGCAGCAGTCAGATGAAAAGAGAGGATAGGTACCTGGGGGGGGGGGGGGGGGCAGGCTTTCAGACCCGCGTCTGAGCTCTCAATTCCCTGGGCTCCGCGGAGTGAGAATTCCTTACAGGTTAATCTTGATTTAGAGTCCGAGTCATCTGCTGGAGAAGCACAGACCCGTTGCTTTTGAGGGCAGATGTAAAGAGAATTAGTTTAAGAAAGGGGCTGTAATTTGCCAAAGCCCTGGGATGTAGGATTATCGATCCAGCTTGGAATATTCTGATAGAAATTGTATAGGTTCTTATCGTTGCAGACAAAAACTTTGCAGATTTTTATCAAAAATTCAGTCTATTAATCCCAGTAAAATATCTACCAGTTTCAGGTTAGGTAGCGTAGATGTCTGTGCAGGCAAATCCTCCTCCTCTCGGTGCCCTCCTTTGGCGTATCTGGGCTGTCTTTGGGTGCTGTCTGGACCCCCTGATGAACAGCTCTTCCCGCCTAACCTTCTGTCACCTCTGTATGGCATATGTGAATTATTCTCCTTGCAGAATGTGTATGTAAAATACGGATTCTGAGGCCACCTGCCCACTCCCCTCCCCAGGGCCTCCAGACCACCTCTGACAACTGTGTAGCCAGAGGAGATTCTGGAAGTTCTCAGCAGTTTTAATATTAGTGAAAGCCCGAGCTAATCAGATAAGTTTACAATAGCAAAATGTCACATCATAAAAACCTAACAAACCTTACGTTGTTTGGGTTTGCCCCTTGGGCAGTACATTTACTCTACTTTCTTCCTTTTTAATTTTTTGTGTTCCTCTCTCCGTCTCCTCCCCCTTTCCCCACTCCCCTCCCGGCTCCCTCCCTCCCTCTCTCCTCTCACTGCTTTTGGCTCAATCAGGTGTCAAAGAAAATAGTCTGAAGGTGAATATTATAGGAGAATTTGATGGCTCCTGGGGTCCATACCTTTCCCTGCCTCTTGATAAAAAAGGGTGTGAGGAACCTCTTGAGTGGCTCACCTCGTAAGATGTGTCCAAATCGATCCAGTCTAAAAGTTTAACATGTAGAAGCTCCACAGTTTTATGTCCAGTAGCCTTTTGATGACATTTGATTACTTTTGAGTCAAAAGATGACTCCATGGCAGGGGTGCTCAGCTGGCTCCATCAGCAGATCCCGTGACTCTCGTTCCGGGGTTTGTAAGCGTGAGCCCCATGTTGGGTATAGAGAATAACTCAGCAACAAATCTTTTAAGAAATGAAATATAGACACACACGGAACATACCAAGTATATATTTAAGAACATGGAAGCCCTCAGAGGTCTGGGCACCTGGGTCCCCGTATGGCCGATAGCACTTTCCAGGAGAGAGAAGAGAGAAGAAGCCCGACGCCTGTATCCCTTTCCTGTTCTCCCCCAAAGAGGAGCCTCGTCTGGTATCTCACTTCCACCTGCTGCACAGACACAAATTTGGAGGGAGAAGGATGTAAAGAGAGAGTAGCAGGGAGGAAGAGCCGGGCACAGCTCGTTGGCATAGGCTCCTAACGCAGGTCAGGCTCCCGCTGGCGCTGGGGAGCCTTCCCAGCTATCTCAACAGGCAGCCAGGGTCTTTGGGCTGTTTCTCTTCTCCTTTGTTTTTCTTTATTTTCCGCCCCTCTTCCTTCTCTCCAGGATGTTCTAAAAAAGCCAAGGGGTCCACACTACTGTGCTAGAAATCCACCCTCTGTGTTTCTGTTGCTTCTGGAGAGCACGGGTTTGAGAACCAGGAAGGCCCTTTTTCAGGAAGACAGACACATAATTCTTCCCTCTAGGAGAAATACCTGCCTGGAAAGTTCCATATTCACATGTGTGTGATTAATTTTAGACCACAGATCAACACGCACGTATACCTGCAGAAAAGAGAATTGACGTGCTCCAGAATTATGCTTCCCTTTTTCTTTATGCAGGTAGATGGCCACTTGTAACTGTCAGAGCCTGTGGGGGGATCACGCCCGTGTATTCCAGAGCAGACCTAAGTTGGTGTTTTGTTGTGTATGAAAACTTTGAGACATGTTTTCAGAAGAAAAAATAGCCTTCAAAAACTTACATCCTAGGAAACCATTCATCCAGCAGCTGTTAAGTTGGTCTAATGTTTATACTGACCTGAGTACTTTTACTCTGTGCATTATGTTAGCTGTTCCAAGAAGCCTTGAACCATCAAGATAGGGTTAGTCTTTACAAGTCACATTTTCTGTGAAGTGGCTATTGGGGACAATCGGCTGTCAGATAAATGCTTCTAAAGCAAGAATTACTGTTTAAATGAATGTGCCTCCACACACCGCAGAAGCCAAAGCTCCTGCTAATTTAAGAATGCAACTCTCCAGTATTCTCTAAAGAAAGCAAAAAAGGAGGCTTTCAGGTTTATTTTAAATACACCTTTTTTATATTTACTTAAAGGCGTCTTTTTCATGAGGAAGCAGTGATAAAACTATGGGGAGTGAGTGCTGCCTCATTATACCTTTTATGGCCTATTAATTTGTTACCATCTATTCACCTTTGTTGATGAAATTTTAATTTTGCCCTTGCTTGAGCATATTGTAAGAATTGTATAAACTGCTGCTCCGTGCGCTGACAAAACGGTCCTTTTAGAGTGAACAATTGGGAGCTCATTTTATTTCTAGAGCACATTTAAAATAACTTATGAATGAGAGTTGTCAGACATGAAATGCTGTATTAATTAAATCTTTTTCTAGTCTTTTTGCTTCTCCAGCTAAACCAACCCTTTAGAAAAATACGCGGCCACCTTAATTATAGAGGAGAAGACAAAAAGTATCCTTCACATTCCTCTGCCTGAATAAGAATAAGAACCCAATTCATCTATATAATAACCCCATTAGCTGCTTAACTCAACAGCGCACATGGGAAAATTTTCAAACCACAATGTAAAAAGTGTTGATTGGGTGGATCGTTTTCAAGGTTTTGTTCTTCTAATGTTCAAAATGATCATTTTAAGTAAATCCGATCTGTCATAACTGGGAGCTTTAAAGCATTTATGACTTAGAACAAAAGTTTTGTGTCCACATCAACTAATGCATCTTTGTCTTTTAACATCCAGCAACAATACCATTCAAAAATAGATGATTTGATCGACAGCACCGTAAAAGAAATCATTTCGCTGCTAGTCTCAAAGGTAACGTATTATTTATTCACCTTAAGTCAGATTCGAAAATCATTTTGCTGAGCATGTTTGGGAAAAAAATCTGTCTTATGTTTCTAAATACCTAATGGAGAAACAGTAGTTTTAAAAATAGCTGCGAGAAAAGTTCAGATTCTAAGAAGAGTTCCGAACAAAACATGAACACTCTTTGTCAACAACTTTTGATTTTTTTTGTTTGTTTACAAGTCATCTCGGCTTTTCTTGCAGCTGTTGGCTTTTAGAAATAACTCTGTCTTCCAGCAAGACTTTATTATTTTACATTTATGTCCTCTTTCTACTTGTCTGTTTGGCTGATTCAAGCAGTCACCAGTCGTTGAGTGTAGCCTGTTTGTTGGGATGCCGTTGGCGAGGCTCTAGAGCTGGTCGCAGGTGGACGGAGGAGGCGGGCAGGCTGCGGTCCGAGGTTCTCCACTCCCAGCGGGCCCCCGCGACTTCCAGCTTGATGCCGCACGTGTCTGTGACAAACCCTACGGCCTGTAATTGTCTAAGGGATGAAGCAAAAATGAATATCCCATTGAATGCCTTAGATGATTTGCCGTCCCACTGAGGTCACAGACTGCCGTGAGCGACACTGGAGATCCAGGGCTGACGGGGAAGAGACGGAGACTGGAACGCAAGACAGAGAGGGGTCCGGGTGGACGCGGTCGGGGGGACGCCCACGGGAGCGGAGAGAGCCCGTGCTCCCGCAAGGCTTGGTCAAAGAACCCCCGTCAGGCTTCATGAAACCATTGGAAGAACGTACGGAAAGCAAAGGAAAAAACACCCCCAATTTAATAAACGAGGGACATGCTGTTTAGAAAAGAAAAAAAAACAGGTGCCCAATAAGCATGAAAACGTTAAACCTCATTCACAATTTGAGGCATGAAGAAAAACTACAATGAATATGCCACTTTTTCTAGCAAGTTTGCGTACGTGTTTTTAAACCAACACTTGGTTTTGGAAAAGGTGAGGTGGGATACTCCCGTCTCCCGTCTGCAGGAGTGTAAACTGTTACGGCCTTTCTAGAGAGAGAGAGAGCTTGGAACTATATGGAGCGCATGGATACCCTCTTACCTAAGAACTGTTTTGTGGGTTTTTTCCTGCTCAGAGAGATGCACAAGGTACATATACATTGATAGGGTTGCAATGACTTCTAATGGAAATGTGGAAGCAACTTTAATCTCTAACGTGAAGGGAACGGTAAAGTAAATGACGGGGCATCTATGTTAAGAGACCATGGTTTCAGGGACTATTCATGATAAAGGAAAGGTTTCCTAATATACTAGTAAATGGGAAAAAAAAAAAAAAAAGCTTAACATTTTAGAAATGTAAAGTATGACCTGTCTTTGCATCACATTGGGAAAGGACAGGATAGACTCCGAAACGTTGGTAGAGCCGCTCTGGATGATGGGGTCAGGCTGGAATTTGGAGGCAGGTAGATTCTTTGGGATTTCAGGGGTTCTTTTGTTTTGTTTTGTTTGTATTTTGCAAATTCTTTGGTAGCAGGTGTAGAGATGGGAAATAGCCACCAAGATGCAGTTAGAACAGCCTCACCCCTCCAGCACGTTCCTGTTCTCGTTACTTCTCCCACCACGAGGATGCCTCCCGCTTCACCCAAAGTGGAAAGGGAAGAGGCTAACGGGAGACGCGTCCGGCACGTGGGGGAAAGGCGAACCCTGGGGAGCGGAGCCCCAGAGGAGGAGCAGGGGCTTGCAGCACTGCACAGAGGCCGGCCCACGGGGGAGTGGAGGTGACACGGGACCGCCCTTGCCTGTGAGTCAGCCGGGGAAGTTTAACCGGGCGGCCCGACCCCATCGTCACGCTGCCCCCGTGCGGGTTGTCTTGTGAGTCGGGGCCTCCCGGAAGCCCGTAAATTGCCCGATAGCGCGCAGCTGGTAGAGCCTTAAACAGACAGCGAGGAAAAGGGACCAGGGCGGGATTTGTGCCGGCGCGGGGAGGGCTGCGTGTCCTCTGCGTTCTCTCCTGGCGAAGGGAAAAACGGACTCTCTTTATGTCAAATACATCTGTTAATCGGAAAAATAGTATATTTGACTCTAGTAAGGAAACCGTGTTGTAGAGATCAGTGCTATTCAGTAGAGCTTTCTGCGGTCTAAAAACACTCACCAGCACCATCCAGTGCACGGCCTTCTAGCCACGCGTGCCCACGGCCACTGGAACGGGCCCAGTGCAACCGAGGAACTGAAGTTTTAATCTTACTTGGTTCTAAGTAGTTTTAACTAAAACAGCCTAATGTAGCTAGCTATTATAAACGGGGTTAGCAGCCTTCGCTTCTAAGAGGCATCCGCAGAGCTCCCCAGCTCCTTCTGCCGTGTGGAAGTGCAGCCAAAAGCCATCCTCTCTGAACCAGGAAGTGGGTTCCCACCAGACACAAATACCCCGTCGTCTCGTCGCTGGACTCCCGGCCTCCAGAACTCTGAGGAAAAGACGTCCGCTTTATGTCACCCAGTCGAGGGCGTGCGGTCCAGCAGCCTCCGGGCTAGTAACGGGGAGACGGAGGGAACCCTGGGTGCCGTGGAGTGGCGCGGGGTGCCTGGAAGAGGGACAGATCGCGAGGGGGGGACCGTGGGGCAACACCGGACCGTGCAGGCCCAGCTGTCTCGGAGACGCGGGCAGGAGGGGGCGGCCAGCGACCCCAGCGGGTGGTTGGGTCTGGAATTCCGAGGAAGCCCATGGAGCCAAGCGATCAACCCGATTATAAGATGTCAACCATAAGGGATGATTCCGGGCGTGGCTGCTACTCTTAGGCAGATGTCCCATAACTGGAAACTCCACGGAGAAATAAAAATCAGCCTTAAAGGGGAAAAAGATAAAGACGCTTCTAGCCCAAAGGGGACTTAGGTATTTTTACTGAGAAGAAAAGAAAAGAAAAGATGATAGCAGGAACGTTCTTGTTCATTGCCTTGTAGTTGTGAGTGATGGGTGATTTTGTGGGCTTTGCTGTTTGTATCCCTTAGGATACCTGACAGCCGCGCAGGACTGTCACTCTTCAAAGGTGCGGCTTCGGCCGCAGCCGCGCGGCCCTGTTTCCGTTCCTTACATCATGTCGCGCCCGGTGCGGGCGGAGCCCCTGGGGAAGCCCGTGCTCCTCCTGCGCAGACTGCTGTGCGGTAATTGACCAGCCACGCAGAGAAGCGGCTTCCCGGGCGCTCTGGGTGAGCTCGCGGCCACCGGAGACCAATAAGCCGCGTCCCTAGCACTGTTACCACTTCGTTGAAGAAGCTGCTATGTGAACAAAAGCCAGCCTTCGTTAATTTCCCCTTTCGTATTTGAAAGACCTTGTCAGGAGTCCCCCTTTGGGAGCTTATAATTTGTCAATAGCGCGTGTTATTTTGGCTCTAAAGAGGAAAGATGTGCGGCGGTAGATTCCTACTGAGTTCTCCTCCTGTCTTCGTATTCCCACTCGATGGCATCTAACTCCCCACACCCTTGGTCATAGGATGCGTACACGTCTTAACTGTAACTTCGTAGAGAAATGAATCTTAAATCCGTAACACTCGCGGGGCGTGGGCGCACGCACAGTGGTAACCGTGGAGGGCCCAGTGGGCGTCGTGCTGGCCCGAGCCCCCACGGTGGTCAGTGTTGGAATCAGGGTCTAGAACCTCGGTCTCGGGCTCTTTCCCTTGTAGCCTGCAGCACGTTCGTCTGTTTTCTCTCCAACTGCTTTGTAAGCTTCTGAGAGCAGATTTGATCCCTGTGTGTCTAGTTAGAGCCTCTCGGTAAAGGCCCGGCGCCTACTGTCGGGCTTCCCTGCAGTGTCACAGGAGCATCGAATGTCACACATTCCTCCTGTTACCTGGTCACTTTTATTCAACTTCTCCAATAGATAGAAATAGATGATAGATAGATAGATAGATAGATAGATAGATAGATAGATAGATAGATAGATAGATAGATTAGATTAGATGGATAAAGTCGGGGAATGGCCAACTATGAGAGAAAGGAACTTGAAGAAGCTTGACCATCCTTTATGCTTCTAAACATCAATACTGAGGTTAGCCTCGGGAACTTCAACTTCTTTATTAATGGTTTAAAGTACCTCACGTGTTCTGTGAAAAGGCTGCTATTACATATTATTTTTTTATCTTAAAAAAATTTTTGTGTGTGTGTGTATTATTTCCAGCAGTGGAAAAGGGCCGTAGGGCTCATCTTCACATGAAAGAGTGAACCTTACAAGTCAGCCCTCCGCTGTCACTTTATTCATTGTGGATTTTTGTGCTGTGGGGGAAGTTGGTCCAGAGATTATTCCCCCTGTTATTAATTTGTAATATTCTAAATACTCACTATAAATGATTACAGTTTGTTTCAGTGTTGGAAGGGGTGTTATCCAAGCTGTCAAGATACGATGAAGGCACTTTCTTTTCATCCATCCTGTCATTCACTGTAAGTATTTGAATGGGTTCTCTTCTGCTGTCTTTTGACTGCTGTCATAGTGCTTATCTAGCAGTTAAGAAAATAATTCTCATAATTATCTCTTCTCCACTTAAGGTGAAAGCAGCTGCAAAATACGTTGATGTTCCAGTAAGTATTTTTTATTTGCTTTTACAAACTGTGTGTGTGTGTGTGTGTGTGTGTGTGTGTAACTCTATCTTAAATAATTACGGTTTACCACAGATTTATTTCAGATCTTTAAAGCAGTGAGTGCCATTCCCTCAGGGAGCAGTTTATTTTCCTTAAGCAAGTGCTAACTCTCATAAGAAGGCTTGACATGGTGATTTCAGTGTCCTTTCTCCGCTTTAACTCAGGAACTCTCGTGGAGATCAAGTCACTAAGAGAACACGTCAGCTCGGTCACAGAGGGTGGTTCTAATACCCCAGGACCGGGTACAAAATGCCTCAGACCATTTACAGAAAAATGCTTACTGTCTCTTCGCTTTATATGAAAGCTGTGCCAGGTTTCTCATAGGAGTTAAAGTAACAATAGAGATGAACCAGTTAAATCAAAGAACTAGTTTTCTCTCTCTCTCTCTTTTTTTTTTAAGATTTTATTTATTTATCCACGAGAGACACACACAGAGAGAGGCAGAGACACAGGCAGAGGGAGAAGCAGGCTCCATGCAGGGAGCCCGATGGCGGGACTCGATCCCAAGACCCCGGGGTTACGGCCTGGGCCGAAGGCAGACGGTCAACCCCTGAGCCACCCAGGTGCCCCAAATAACTAGTTTTCTAAATAAAAATGTAGTATGAATCAATATTCACTTATTTTAAACACTTGGCGTTTTGCAGAATTCTTGGAAAATAATTTGTAACCTGTAAATCTGTTCAAAGATTAAGATACCATGAGCTACCATTAGAAAATTCACAGGACAAATATAATCAACAAGTTACATTTGTAACTTAAATTACAATTATAAAATATGTTACACTTAACATTTTAAATTGATAATCTTAAGCAATTACATTTTGCCTTCATCCTATTATGACATATGTATGATCAAGGCCTGTTATGTTCTGTTTAATCATATATCTTGGCATATGTATCGCTTTGCAAAGAATTTGAGCACAATGAAAATAAAACTTACAAATTGAAACTAAATGGAATATAAGTCGGGCAACCTGGGTTGCTCAGTAGTTTAGCACCGCCTTCGGCCCAGGGCATGACCCCAGGGTCCTGGGATCGAGTCCACCACGTCAAGGTCCCTGTGTGGAGCCTGCTTCTCCCTCTACCTGGGTCTCTGCCTCTCTATCTGTCTCTCATGAATAAATAAATAAAATCTGTAAATAAATAAATACATACATACATACATAAAATGGAATATAAGTAAATAAACGGAATATAAATAAATAAATGGAAATAAATAAATAAATAAATAAATAAATAAATAAATAAATAATAAGAATTTAAGTCATCTTATCTTTGCTTGAGATTGTGCTTGGGTAGCATCGCATCTAGCTTGTCATTATGAACGTTAGTGGTTTAGGGACTGGCGAGCTCTGTATACCAGTTGTAGGTGGCTCTTATTTTTTTTAATGTTATTTAAATTCAATTAACATATAATGTAGTATTGGTTTCAGAGGTAGAGGTCAGTGACTCATCAGCCTGTGTAACACCCAGTGCTCATCACGTGCCTCTCCACGACCCTGTTTTGTTTCCTATGGTTAAGAGTCCCTTATGGCTTGTCTCCTCTCTGACTTTATCTTGCTTTATGTTTTCCTCTCTTCCCCTATGATCCTCTGCTTTGTTTCTTAAATTCCACATATGAGTAAGATCATATGATAGTCTTTCTCTGATTGACCTATTTCACTCAGCATAATATCCTCTAGTTCCATCCACGTCACTGCAAATGGCAAGAAAACTCTTTTTATGGCTGGATAGTATTCCATTGTCTGTGTAGACCACGTCTTTATCCATCACCTGTGGATGCACATCCGAGCTCATTCCATAGTTTGCCTATTGTGGACATTGCTGCTATAAACATTGGGGTCAGGTACCCCTTTGGATCAGTACATTTGTATCTTTGGGGAAAATACCCCGTAGTGAAATTGCTGTATCATAGGGTAGCTCTATTTCAACTTCTTGAGGACCCTCCATACTGTTCTCCGCAGTGGCTCCACCAGCCTGCATTCCCACCAGCAGTGCAAGAGGGTTCCCCTTTCTCCCCATCCTCACCAACATCTGTCGTTTCCTGACTTACTCATTTTAGCCATTCTGACAGGTGTGAGGTGGGATCTCCCTGTGGTTACTTCCCTGATGCCAAGTGATGTTGAGCATCTTTTCATGTATCTGTTGGCCATTTGTATGTCTTCTTTGGAGAAATGTCCATTCACATCTTCTTAAATGGCTCTTATTTTTACTGTGGACCAAATAACCCCCAGATTCATTGCTGCCATAATTATTATAAATGAATATTTTAAATCTTTTTTTCAATGGTAAGTGTACTCTTTAATCCCCAAACCCTACTTCCCCTGTCCCCCCACACCCACCCACCCACCTCCCCTCTGGTAACCATCAGTTTGTTTCCTATAGTTAAGAGTATAAACGGATATTTTTTAAGGAAAAGGCTATGGATTTTCCCAGCTCTGCATAGAGTTTCTTTGGAACAAGGCTTTTTTATTTCACAAATGATTCCCAAAGAATTCTTGGTGTCCTCTTTGTCTTGTACCTAAGAATTAGAAAATCAGCACTGGGCAATAAGCAGAAATAATCACATGTGTAGGGTCTTGCAAAAGCACAGCACAACAGAGAGAAAGGAAAAATTAAGGAGAGTTTATATTCCCTATCTTAAGTAATCGTAGGAACACGTGAAGTTCCTTGAAATTCTTAACATGCTTAGAATACAGCTTTGTTTTTATTTTGGATTAAAAATGGAATGGGATACCATAATTATTTCTGTTCTTAGGGCTTTTGAGGTTTTTTTTTTTTTAAGACTTATTAATCTATTTTTTAGAGAGAGAGTACGAGTGGAAGGGGCAGAGGAGAGGGGAGGAGAATCTCAAGCAGACTCCACACTGAGCGGAGGAGCCCCACCCAGGGCTCAGTCTCATGACCTGAGCCAAAACCACGAGGTGGATGCTTAGCCGACTCTGCCACCCAGGCGCCCCACGGCTTTCGAGGTTCTTAATTCGACCCTGTGCTAGATCTGTTAGACCTTACAGAGATAGAGAAAGCGGTTCATTCATCCTCCGCCTCATTGCAGAAACTGCCCTCCCTCCACACCCCTCACAGAGATTCATTCAGGCTCCGTGAATTTTTTTGGTGATTGCAGGCTTATGTCTAATGAGCTGAAGATCTGCTTCTCTGTGAATTCTTCCTTGATTCTAAACCCTCTTCTGCATGATAGTCCTTCAAATAGTTGATGATAATGAGTCATGCCTCCTCTTCCCAAAGGATGTGGTGGCTGGTCAAAGGGATATATCGTCGGAGGAATTGTTATTGTCTCTAGTAGACGTCTTCAGTGTCTTCACTGAACTCACTATTTATTTAACACCAAGTGCTAGGCTCTGGGCTTACATGATAAAAATACACATTGACTGCCCGCAAGCCAGTCAGTGTCTAGGATGAAAGAGGTAGAGAAACAGACGTACGTTAAAGCAGCCACAACAACTGGGCCCAAGCTCTTTATCGTGCCAGTAACTTGTCGCTCCCTCGAGGGATTCGCATGCCAGTGTCAGTATTAAATCAAGCTGCCCCCCTGCTCCAGCAGAGGATGCTAAATCATAGAGTCTGGCCCTGGGAGATTAGATTAGTTCCTCCCTCGGATCTGGACATTACACCTCAGTTAGTGATGCCGGTGAATATTAACCTGAAAAGCTGTAAGTTGCTATTAACTCTTACTGTTTTTTATGCTAAAACTCCAACAAATACGCCTCTCTAAAGCAGTCTTTTAAGGAGAAACTCATAAGAAAGGAGAACACTGGTTCATCTGTCACAAAAAGGTAACTCGAGACTGATCAAAAACCTACCAGCAAAATGCAAACTATCAAACTTCTAGAAGAAAGCATAAGAGGAAATATAGGTGGTCTTGGATTTGATGATGAGGTTTTAGGTGCAACAACACCGAAAACATCCATGAGAGAAAAACAATGTAAATTGGACTTAATAATGAACTACTCTGCACTGTTAAGAGAATGAAAAGACAAGCCAGAGACACATATTTGGTAACAAACTTGTATCTAAAATGTACAAAGAGCACTGAGGGGGGCACTTGACAGGATGAGGACTGGGTGTTATTCTATATGTTGGCAAATTGAACACCGATAAAAAATAAATTAAATAAATAAAATGTACAAAGAGCTCTTAATACTCAACATAAGAAAACAACCCAATTTGAAAAATGGCAAAAGATCAGAGTAGACACTATAGCCAAGACATAAGGATATCAAATAAACCTCTGAAAAGATGCTCAACATCATTTGTTGTTAGGGAAATGCAGTGAGGCACCCCTAGACACCCTTTAGTGTGGCTGAAATTTAAATTAAAAAAAAATTGACAATAGCAAGATGTTAACAAGGATGCAGAGCAACAGGGACCCTCATTCATTGCAGGTGTAAGTATAACGTGGTACAACTACTTTACGAGACCGGCAGTTTCTTACAAAGCTGGTCTAACCACGCAGCCCGCCCACTGCATTTCTAGGTATTTATCCAGCTGCTTTGAAAGTGAACATCCACACCAAAACTGCACACAGATGTCCCTACCGACCTTATCCGTAATCACCAAAACTTGGAAGCAACCAAAATGTCCTTCAATAGATGAATGAAACGGGGAATACTATCCGGGGAGAGAGAGCCTGCAGTGGGGATGGGCAGAGGAAGAGGGAGAGAGACACCCAACGGACTGCACGCCCAGGGCGCTCCACCGCCAGGGATCAGACCCCGGCCAAAACCAAGAGCTGACGGTCTGACCGCCTGTGCCACCAGGTGCCCCGTGTCAGAGGTGACTTTTGAAGGTACAGTCAGGGGCACCTGGCTATGTCGGTAGAGCTTGTGACTCTTGATCTTGGGGTTGTGAGCTTAAGCCCCGCATCGGGTGTAGCAATTACTTTAAAAAAAGTTCATTAGTGCCCATTGGTGATGGTTAAC